GTACTATTAAACTTTACAGCAGCAACACGTCTAAGGAAAGCTGAGATCGGAGCAACAAAAGGTTGCAAATGTATCATAAGTGATAAGAATAAGAAAGAGCTGGAGTATTTTGCAACTAATTAGGTTGATTAGCAACAGATCAGAATGAAGACCGAGGTTAAAAAGAACATTTTAGGGAAGCTGAATCTCTCAGAAATAAAGATGAGCAGACGTTCTATAAAAAAGTGTGGAAAAACTACAGAAACATGTTCCTAAAAAGTTAGAAAGACTTTGAATATTCTATCATCTGTAGTTCATAATATCAAAAGATTGAAAAAATCTGGAGAAATCTCTGAGCTTAAAGGACGAGGTGGAAGGTTGGATGCTTGTCACCTTTGGGTCGTCAGACAACACTGCAATTAAAACAGGTCTGATTCTGATTCATTACCTGTAAACTGTTCGCCATGCCACAAATATTGATTAAAGCTCTATCATGAAAAAAACATTTATTAACACTGTCCAGAATCACTGCCATCTTCTCCAGGGGTGCAGGATTATGCAAAATCGACTCTTTTGAGTTTTAAATCATGTTATATYGTCATACCCAGAGTGTTGCTTTGACTCATTCATGTATGTTTGAGAAATCCTTGACTCTCCTGTGGTAGCTATGTCTAAATGCTTGCTGGTACAAAGCACCGCCYATTTGTACAAAGCTCCTCCCTCCCCTGAAGCATTGTAGCGAAGACATGCTGAAGTGGGAGTGTGGGAAAYGGTAAGAGGTTATTAAAGAGACAGAGATCAATTTCAAGCCATTTATTTTTATATGCCATTTTCAGAACAGCTAAAGGTAACAGTACAGTATAAATAATATCCATAATACCCCCCCTCCCCCCTAAATTAAAATGGACTGAGGCCAAATGAAAAAGTGCTTTGTTGTCAGACAAACATAAATTTGAAATTTCTTTAAAAAACTGTACTAAGAAGAAGCACACGGTTCAAAAATCCACCTCTCTGATGGTATAGGGGTGTATTAGGTCCTGTGGAATGGGAAGCTTACACATTTAGAAAGACCCTGTCAGTGCAGAAAAATACTATATAAACAKGTTCTAGAACATTTCTTTCATCTAGACAATGTATTTTTCTTAGAAGGCCCTATATTTCAGCAGAACCTTGCTACACCACATGCTGCATTCATTACAGCTGCATTGCTTCAAGGTGCTGAACTGGTCTGCCTGCTGTCTGGATTTCTCATCATTTGTAAACATTTGTCACACATTACCTTTCCAAAAACTCCAGCAGCTCTCCTCAGTCCTAGTACGTTTACAGACCCTCATTAAAAGAAAAGGGGATGCTTTGCAGTGCGAAACACCACCCTGTTTCCACTTTATTAGACGTGAAAATCACTGCTTTTCACACAACATCCCGCCTTTTTGTTCTTTTATTTATTTATTTTGAATTGGGGTTGTGATAGTCCCCGAATCTCATCTGGTGGGACAACCTTTGGCCCTCTGCCAACTAACTTTCATTTAGCAGCTCGCACAGCTTTTCTTTTTTAGACTTGTTGATGYGCCAAAGCAGATTTACCTTCAATAACCATTTATTAAATCTCTACCCATTAGGCTCCGAGGCTCCAAGAGCTGGCTGCATTAAGCCTGATTAAAGGACGCCCGATAGAGGAAGAGGGTCTACGTGTCAAGGGTGTCATGGAGTGATTTATATCCCCGGATGGGATCTTTGTCTTGTCAGTCGAGGTGTAAGCTGCAGCGAGGAGAGAGAAGCAGAACAAACTTCTGCTGATGGAGGCCTAAGTTTWAAATCCCGGTGTAGCCGTCAGGTCTGCAGATTGTAGTCTCTAATTGCCACTCTCTGAGGGTCATTTTGTCTTCTTCAACATGGACACTAAAGGCCAGACTGGCACCTTTAAACGATCCTCCCTCAAACGCAGCACATCTGGCTCACAGAAGGTAAGAGGAAGCAGATGYAGCCCTCTGCAACGGTTTGATCATTTACTTTTCAGCATTGGTCTCAAGCTCACAAAGTAAATCAGCGCTGCACATTGTGCCGGATGCTTTCAGTTCTTCTTGTTCCTAGAAAGTGTTCAGATTAYTTTATGGTCACTCCCAGCACTGCAAAAAGTACTTTTAGAGCTTTTCTGGTCATCATATAGATACAAACCCACTCTGGTGAGCATAAAGTGTGTTCTACCAAGCCTTTAAAGTCAGTGTTAAGTGGTGTTAAAAGCTGAACATTTAATCCGGTATAATGACTCCTCTGACCACATTTTGAACAAATTGTAGACTCTTTCTAAACTCAGCTTTAAGGCAATGAAAATTTAAATGATGTAAAAACTTTRAAAGATTATCTGCAATTCAAAAGATGGTTTTGCAGATGCCTCTCAGGCAGAGAAGTGTTTAAATACTGGAGAACTTTAATGGATTTTAATTTTTTTAACCTAAATGTGAAATGAAGAATTGGAAAGGGCTGTGTATATGTGGGTGTATACCCCATGAACCACAAGACAAGAAACTCTCTGAAAGTAACATTTGATGCGTATCTACAACTGGCACTAATTCAAGATGGCTGCCACAGCTAACCATTAGCTAAGACTTGGTGTGGTAGTAGCTGAGACTGACCCCCAACACTGATTCTACGTTGTTTAAAATGTTGCCATTATTTGTTGTGCAGTTGATCCTGCCTGTATTTGAATAAAATGCTCAGGAAGTAAACAGCTTAACGTTTGGAACCAAGGCAACCTACAACGGCTGACAAAAACAACTGAGCTAGGGAAATATGTAAGTGGCTATAATTTGATCAAATTTACACATATTGAGCTAAAATTTGATGTGATGGGAGCTATTTGAAACACATACTC